TTAACAAAAAAAATATTTAAATTCATTGTTAGTGAGGTTGAGTAAAGTGTGAGACATGTACAGTGATTAGCAAGTGCTGTTTTGTTTTTATCAGAGACAAATCCAAGCTAGCATTGACAGATAAGATGATTGACAGCCAGATAAAGCTCCTTGTCTCTCACCTCTCTCAGTTGTCTGATGACAGTGAAATGGGCACCAGTCACAGCTGTGTGTATGCATTTTAATTTCTGTAAAATATGATTTGATTGCTTTGGGCTTGTTCTTTTTATGCAGCTGCAGTGTGTAGGAGAAAGAGAGGAGGCAATTCTGTGATATAATGACACGAGGCCAAGATCACAGCTATTTATGACAGAGATGAAATGCATTTAATAAATTTAACATTTATTATCACATAGCAAATGAGATGCAATTTACAGTGTGTTTAGAAATTAAAGCATTTGCTGCTGCTGTTCAAAAATATGTTAATATGCACAACTGCAATATTTCTTTCTATTTAGAGCTCAAAAGAAATATAAGCAACCAAATATTAAAAGTGCAAACATGAGGGATGTGATGCACTAAATGCATCTGTTACCATTCAATGATCATAAAACAGCAAAACTTTAGGAGGGGAATAAAGAAGCTAGGGAGGCAGATTGGTAATATTAGCCAGTGAGTAGAAGATGTGCTTTTTTACAAAGACATTTCAACCTACTGCACATCTGCAATTGGGGGGTGATTTCTAGTCTGATTAATGTTGACTGTATGGCACAGCATGCCTATCCACACTTAACACATTTGTCATACAAAATGAAACTAACTGTTTTGGGGCTGTGATTTAGTGCAATTTATGTTAACTGTTATCAATCCAGGGAATGTTAGTGTGAATGTGTATTTTTTACTTTTTTCTGAGTCAAACATGTGCTCCTGCAACCTTGAAGCTGCTATGACATAATGTTCTGTAGCTTGACTTCATTTGTGCAGATAGGAGCACAGAAACACTTTTTTAGCCAATGCGCAAGGGATGGCAGTGTCAGTAGGCTAGTTGTTTGATCAGTTGGTAATAAAATTTTGAACGAGCAGTCATTGTCCACAAAAGATACGTTTTAAAATCATGAACCCCTGTGATAGATATTTTGGCCTTTATAGAAATGTCTGACAAACAGGGATGTGCAGAGAGTTTTTCAGAGCAGGGCTCAAATTAAAACCCTGGATATCTATCAGTGTGGAGTTAATTTGAACTAATAAATACACATAGCTATCATTATCATCCTGGTAGACATTGTAAACAGACTATGTTTCACATTAACAATGAGATTACAGATATAACCTAATAGTATTTGTCTTGATAGGAACAGTTGCAAAAAAGTAGCTTTTCTTAAGCAAGTAACTTTTACTGAAGAAATGAATCCAGGATCTCTATCCCTCCTTCACATGCTTCTCTGGCCTGTCATTTTTGCTAGCTAAAATGATAATGTGATATTGTAATGACTATCATAGTTAATTTATTATTATTATTTAGTTAGTTAGTTATGTTAGGCCATATAAGGCTACAGGTCTATCTTGCCATATTAGTTAACAAGAGGTAAACTATACAAATGTCCCTTTTTTGAAAATGGCCACTTTTGGTTGTCTTATGCATTATGGCAGCCATGTAACAACGAGGATTGGTGACAGGGTTATTATTTTTAATAATAATAAGTATACATTCTATATTATGAGTATTTTGTTACAGTCTGCAAAAGATGAAGTGTTTTGATATGAAAATCAGCATCTTTAATGTGACCAAACATCCTGTATCATAACTACATCTCTGGCTGTGGCTTAGGAGGTAGAGCGGGTCATTTCCTAACCAGAGGATTAGCAGTTCAATTCCTGGTTTGTCCAGTCAACATGTTGAAGTGTCTCTGAGCAAGATGCTGAACCCCCAGTTGCTCCTGGTGATAACAGTGGTGTGTGAATGTGTGAGCGTTTGTGAGTGCGAATGGCTGAATGGCCAAGTAATGTGAAAGCACTTTGAGTGTGCTGTAAAGCATAGAAAAGCGCTATACAAGTATAAGACTATTTACCATAAGTCCAGCTTAGATAGCCTAGCCTAGTTGGCTGTCGAACTGTTTTGATTTTAGTCTAATTATGTGTTTAGGTATAAGATTGCTGCATTTGAAATGTAACAAATGTTGTTGCGTAGGTTACTTACCATCCCTGCTGATCAATTTGGAGTAATGCATTTCAGACGTAGCATATGGTGGTGATGCAAAAATGACAAGATTAGCAAGAATGCTTGCAGCCTTCTCGCTCTCTGGGTGACCTGGACATTGTTACAGGTCCGTCATCATGAAGGATGTCTCAGATCCTTTTTTGATGTTTGGAAAGGTGAGGAGAGTTGCTGAAAGAGAATGCTGATGCTGATTATGTTGAGTATTGCTGGGCACCATCAGTGGTACAGAATTTCCCATATCCAAGAGTATTTTTTACAGTAGTTTTCAGGGTACAGTATGTTTGTCTGCAAGTTCATTTTCTTCATGAAGATGTACACATGCTGCTTAAAATATAGGGGGAAATGATATAGCCATAGGAGAAGGCTGTAAAATAACATTTACACTACACCATCCAGCTGCTTAAAATTCATTTCAGGGATAGAAACCTCTCCACTGAAAGCAATTGATTCCAGCACAGTTAGAACTTAGTGTAAGGCTGTCTATATACCTCTTCAGGTGATATCATCATCTTAAACCACAGCATTTTCAGCATTAGATTTCCTCTACCCCTGGTCCCCTGGGCCTCTCTGGCTAGCATGGAGCTTCTTCTTCTTCTTCTTCTTTTTAAAACAAGAGAAGTAACTTTCTCTCAGACTTAGGAGAGGCTAGATCTGAATTTGTTTGGCAAGAGTAGTTTGTCTCTCCATTGAATGTTTGTGTGTATCAGTGACGTGCGGTCAGGGGCAGCAGGTGAGGCAGAGCCTCCCCTGACAATCTTGAAAAGAAAAAAAGGTTAACCATAAGATATAATAAATGTTAATATTTGTTGGCTGGTGTGTGTTGTAGGCCCTTTTGCCGTTCGAATCCAATGTTGAAGGATTTTTTTTTTCAATAAAGAATAGCAGAATTTCTGTATGTCCCGTTGTCTGTGCAGATTCTCAGTCATCCAGGCCATAGTAAACCGAAATAACCTTAGAAAAAATCAACTGGACTTGGATTTCTAGATCAAAGACGTTTCACCTCTCATCCAAGAGGCTTCATCAGTTCTGAATGACTGGTGTTGAGCCGGAGATATTTATCCCCATCGGTGGTGTTTCAGTCCTTTGAAGGCCAACAATGTCCCTTAACGACTGAGTCGTTACAGCCCAGTATCGGTGAGAGTCGTTACCTGTCTTTGGATCCTCCCCTGTCAACCGACGCCTATTGTCCTGGTGAGCATGTTTGGGCAGAGATCTCAAAACAGGGTTGTAACGTGTTTAGGCTCGCAGATTAACCATAAAACCCAGTAAAAAAATTACTCGGTGAGGCAAACAGTACGCCTGCCTCAAGGCAGAGGGCGCGAGCCCACAGATTCTTGCGCTACCTACAATCTTCTT